ACGTAATTTAAGCTACTTTTTGGGACAAAAATTAATCTTTATACTTTATTGAAAAAAAAAAATAATACATTTTAATAGGTATAATATATTATATTGTTATATACAATAATCTAAAAGTAACGTTTATGTAGTAGCAAAACAATTGTATTCGACAAAAAAGTTTTATTTTTAAGAAGTTGTAGTTTGGAGAATGCATTGTATTAAAATACATTTAAAAATTAAAACTTATGTGTTAAACAATAGTATTGTCCACTTTGGTTCTTAACTAAAAATGTTTATATAAATCCATATTGTTGATTATCATTACCTAGTTGATGTATTGACAGCTAAATCATCAAGCGCAAGAGATAAGAATTTTTGAAAAAAATAAATTAAAAGTAACTTTAATGTTGTAATAAAGTTATTTTTTTTAACTCAAAAGTAACGTAACACAACAAAATACAAAAATCGGGTTAGTGGATGTTGCTCTGCTGTACGGTAGGTTACAAGTGGGTCATTACAACTTGAATTCAATAATATAATATCATTGTATAAGAAACACAATTCTGAGCGAAGGTGGTCTGTCAACCTATAATATTATCAAATTGGTATATTATATTATATTATGATATTGTTGTGATTGAAGTAATTAATTTTAGAATTATAAATATTATAAATATTAGAATTATAAATAGACATAAGTATCTACTAAAGTACTACAGTAGGTTAAATTCATTTTTGCCAGTCAAAATATTTTCAAAATCGTATGGTGTATAGGAAATGCTAATATAAACATTCAGTGAAATTTTCATGTATCTACAGTTATTCGTTTTTGAATTACAACAAAATAAGGAAATCGCTACATGAGAAATCGAGTGAAAATCCAATGTTGTAAAAATTTGAATTTCAAACGCTCATAAAAATTTAATTTGACTGTCCGGTAGAGATTTTTTTATTGATAAAGGTAGATAATCTTATAAGGAATCTTGTGTTTCATTTTCAAATCTTAGATTTAAAAAGAAAAATTTTTACGAATTCTTAACTCAAAATAATTTGCTAATTTTAGTGATTTTTCCATATTTTGTCAATTTTAGAACTTTAAATGCTTATAAAAAAAAATTGTGACTAAGGATTTGTAATATTTTTCATCTGCCTTTGAAACAATATACTAGGAGCCTTCTATTAAATTTTCAAGCTTTCGCAACTAACAAATAAAATTTTATTGATATTTTTAGAAAAAAAACTAAAAAAAAATGGAAAATGAAAATGTCCTTAAACAGCTTAAAAAATACTAATGTGTTTAGAAAGTGCTAATGTAAACATTTAATAAAAAATTGCATGTATCTACGGTCATTCGTTTTAGAGTAACGACATAAACCAAAACCGGTTTTGCATGAAAATTCCTTTTTTTCCATAATTTTTTATTTGTTTATCCTGGCGCTCTTGAAAACTACGGGGAGTTTTAAATTTTGAAATCCCCAATGCACCAAATAGATTCACCTTCCCATAGAAGAAGATACTGAAGTTTAAAATTGAAGCATTATTTCGACTATTATTTATCGTGTACACAGACACAAAAACAACTATTTAATAACAATTTTAAAGGATGTTTCGAAATGTAATTTAGAATTTGGTTTCCAAAAAATAGTATACCTTCCCCAACACTATATAGTTAAGTTGTGCGTGCATAATATTGTTTCTGTCTATATTATAGGTACCATAAAAATACGGGGGGCAGAACCGTACTTAATAATATATTAACTTCAAAGCATTGTGAGACGTAAAACATTTCGAGAATTTGACATTGAATCGCGTAAATATATTACAAATAGGTATTGGTGTATATATGTAATAATACAATTTAAAAAAAAATCGTGCTTATGTTTCTTTTTATTTTTTTCACCTATATGGGTACCGCCAATACTATATCATATAATGTATATACACATAACAATACGTCTAAATCATTGCTACAATATGTACACGCCACAATGGTAAACGAGCATGGAAGAGAGGCCGCGCACGATAGGGACAGTGCAAGAGAGAGAGATTCGTATTTGTTCCTACGGAGTGTTTACCGGTGGCGTCGGCTGCGAATATGGTAGTGGAGATCTTATATCAGTGGCGACGGTATTTAAGACTAGTGTGTGTGCTCGTGTTATATAATATATGCGCGTGTGTAGGAAAATCTCGTCCGTCGGAGGCGCTATCTCGTCACTGGCGTGTACGGAAGGCAGTACCTAGTGGATCCAGAAGTTAACCAGGTGGGGGGGGGGGTGGGGAAATAACGTTAGAAATACGGTCCAAGGGGGGGGGGGCGACTTGGCGATCACCCCTCCCCTCAAATCTTCCACTGGTGGCATGGCTTTTCGGGTATATGTATACTCTGGGCCAGGTCACGTCTCCTCCTACTGCAGGTCACCCCAAGACCGGCTCAAGCAAAAATAGAGGACTAGGCAAAATCGAATTTTGTCGCCAATAACAATATAATATTGTCAGAGTATTTTGGAAATGCCGACCTCTTACTTAAGTGCTGCTTAATTGCCGCCCTAGGCGTGTGCCCTTGTCGCCTACCCTTTGCACCGGGCCTGGATCACCCCTCTTACCTGCAGCAGCTACTGCATATTTGTATATACGAATAGATCGCGAAATTAGATGATATACTATGTATATGAATATTAAATCAATACAAAAAAATGTTGCCGATGTCAGAGACGAGTCACCAAATTAGGTGTTAGATTCGCGCATGGACTACTCGACTTCTCGCATATTTATCCACCAATAATTTGTTATCAAATCATAATATCGATGGCGTAGTACACACATGTTGTAAGTGCAAAATTTGGAAAAACTAGTTATTTGCATGGTTGGCTTGTCAACAACTCTTTACATATTGTGTAGTCTGCTAGAGGTCGGTGCGTTTGCTGTAGTGCATGTGATCTACGTGATATGAAATCACAATTGTCGTTCTCCTGAACAATTACGAAAATGTCACTTGCAACATAGGTGCACTATGCCATCGCCCATTGATATTATGTTTTAAATATAATATAATATTTAAAAAACAGTAGAATACCTATGACTATAATAATAATAACATAATATTATGAGTATTAACCACGAACTAAGATATTAATATAGTAAGATTTAGAACAATTATGTTACCTATGCAGGATAAATTATTGTGCTAAGAGTTTCATAGCGCATGCGCACATTGATCACCTAATTCGGAGACTCGTCGCTAATATCGCGGGCAACAAAATAGTACACTGTTGTCCATAGTATATGATCTAAGAGTACGACTCTACGCAAAAGCATATTATATTATATAGGTATATAGGTACATTATACAGGATGAATGGGCAATTCACAAACAATACTCTGCACTCCCTTTTTTCATTTAATAATGCAGATATTCAAAATTTAATTTTTGGAATTCTTAAATATACTCAAATACGATATTTTCAAATTCAGGAGATTTTTGTACTCCTTAAGAAGCGATCTGTGTATAATAATATACAAGCTTCCGTTTTTCAAATGAGAACCCCTGTTTTCTACTATAATCTGTTAGCGGATAATTTTTCTGAAAATGTTGACACAAGCAATATAATTAAATTCCGTAAGAGTATATATACCTAGTATCTACCTTGGGTGTTGAGATGGTCTGAACATTTTAGTGAATTGTAATTTATGTCAACCTATCTAAATATTTTTAAAAATGGTCCAAGTATGAGGAACACTACATCGTCCAGTATCACATACCTATTTATATTTTATATTATTTTTGCAAAACCATTTTGAAGGACTATATTATTATAATTTGTCCTTATTATAAACAGTTTAATAATTGAGAAACTACTCGTTCAAAATCTGATTAGATATAGGTCATTAAAAATTGTCTAAAAACAGAAATCCACTAAATAATTTACAGCAATTTCAGAATATTGTATCACCAGTTTTTGAGTATAGGTACACAAAAAAACATAAATAGTTAACATTTTTGTATAAATTAATTAATATTTACAGTTAACATTTTAATAGTTACCCCAACCATAAACCATGGTAAATCCACCCTAGCTGTTTAGGTATACTTTTTGTGTTTAGACTGTCGTATGTCGTATGTGCCAATATTACCTAATGCTAAATAGTTAAATGGTTCACACTCCGTATTCATAATAATAGGCCAACGAAGCAAATGAGCTGAGGCAGCAATTTGTAAAATTATATATAAGGACGGAATAACCGCGGTACGGGGACGGTGCGGGTCCTCGAGCGTGGCCTGTATGTTTGTAAGCGATTCATCGAGATTGGTATTTTGTGTGTTCGTTTATGTTTAATAAAGTTATTTAATAGTGTGAATATTGTTAACAATTATTTTGTGTACCATCGAGAGATAGGTATACGACAGTGGCGCCCAACGACAATCGTAATCCACGACCCAGAATTTTTAGCATTTGTGTATTTGTTTGTTTGTGTATTTGAGTTTAATTTGTTTTAATTACAAGTACCTTTTTTTTTGTGTGTGTTTTACACATATCGCGTTTTATAATTTGTCCATCAGATTGAACATTTACGGCGGGAAGACTACGAGCAATTGGGTCCATCATTTTGGTGTTTTACACACTCAAGGTGAATATTAGTGTATGGTTATATTTTGTATTTTTGTATGTATGCGATCTATATTTTACGAATAATTTTTTTTGTTTAACCAATTTTTTTTTTTATTATTTGTGTTCATTTATTTATATTTAAATTTAAGAAGTAGTTATAATTATTTAGTTAGGTTTTTACATAGTAATATATATAAACCTTTTTTTTTTTAATCAAACACTCCCAATAAATTTTTCTTACAATAAATTTAATAAAACTTCTTAATAATTTAAATTTGTAGGGATTTTAACAATATTATAAAGTAGGTATATAATTTTAGTTAATATAAGATAAACATAATTAAAAACCGTTAAAATGTCCAAGTATAGATTTAGGATTATTTAAATTAATTTTTCAAATTTTATAAATTAATGAATCAACTTAAAGACCCTAAATCGGATCTTTCTATAACAATAAATACTGCAACAGAAATCTATACTCTCAAAAAACCATTTCTTATTAAATATTGCGAAAATAAAAAATTAAAATCAACAGGTACAACTAGTGAATTAAGAGCTAGACTTAGTAGATACTTAAAAGGCACCATAACATTAGACGACATAGATAACACATTAAGCAAAGAAGAATGCGATTTAATTTTAATCAAAGCAAAAACTAATAAAATCGATTTTAATAAATTAGAAAAAGAAGCAGGAATACTCGATTCGAGCGATTCGAGCACTGACACAAATACAATTAATAAATTAACTTCAGACAGCTTTTCAGAAATATCAAAAGATAATTTAAAATTATACGATAATCTTAATGCCAGTACAAGCTCATTTGTGAATAACACCGAAAATATTCTAACAAATTCAGATATAACTTACCAAAATTGTCAAAAGGAAAGTTCTGTTACTTATGAAAATATATTAAAAAATCTTAGGATTAATGATACTTCTAATAATATTTATGAGGAAATAAAATTAAATACTCAACCAGAAAATAGTGAGATTATTGAAAATAAGTTAATAAATCTTAATAATTCAACAACTATTGATTCTGATAACACAAGTGAAAAACCAAAATTCAAAAACGAAAACACAGCAATAAAAAAAAATAATCAAAAAGGAGATAACCTAAACTCTGAAATTCATTCTACTCTGTTAAATAAACAAACACAGATAATGACAGAAAAAATTCTAATGATTCGACCAGACCAGTTCTCATGTAATGAAGACGTAAGAAAATATTTCAAGCAATACGAAAAAGCAGCAGATGTAAACGGTTGGAAGGACGAAGATAAAGTAAGATTTTTATCGATATTCGTAAAAGGTACAGCAAGCATATTTTTGGAAAATTTGGAGGACAAACATAATAATTGGACATGGAATGATTTGAAACAGGAGTTTCTCGACGAATTTCAACCAATCGGTTACAATACAATTTTAAAAACTAGATTAGAAAATAGACGTCAAGGAGATACAGAGTCTATAATGAGTTTTGTAACAGAAATAGAAAATATATGTAGACAATTAAATAAAAATATGCATGAAGATGAAATTTCCACTTATATTTTAAAGGGATTAAAAGAGACAGTCTTACATGCAATTTCATTACATGACAATAGCAACCTAAAGGAGCTAAAGAAAAATTTAAAAAAATTTGAACTGATGCAATTTCGAATTAATAACAGAGGACCAGAATTAAGTGATTATACAGAAATGCTTAATGAACACGTATCTCAACTAAACCAAAAAACAAAAGAAAAAGGAAGAGAAATCGATGAACTAAAAAGACAGTTAATAGAGAGAGATAGAGAATACAAAAAGGAGATGAACCAGTTAAGGGAAAATATTCAACAAATCAACATTACAGAAAGAAGAAATAAATCGGTAAACTTCGATGATGAAGAAATAGATAATCGATATAATAATAAAAATTATAACTATAATGAAGATAGGAGCAGAAGTTATAATAGAGAAACAAATTATCGAGGACGACAACGTGAATACAAAGATAAAAGTCCATACCCAGGAAGATTTAATGACAGAAGTAGAGAATCTAGCAGAAATAGACAATATGGTAGAGACAGATCACAGTCCAGAGAGAGACAATATTACAACAAAATACAAAACGAGACTAATACATATCGAGATTACGAAAGAAATCCAAGCCATAGATATGATCCAAACAATTACGAATATAGAGATAACTCACGTAATAGAGAAGCTAACTTAAATACAGTCAACGGTAGAGGCTATAGAAACAGATCACATTCAAGAGATCGAGACAATAATGGAAATTACAATTACAACTACAGGCATCAATACAGCAGAGAACATAGTCGAGAGAAAACACCAGAAAGATACAGGGGAGATCGCTATAATAAAGAATCGGAAAGAGTTACATGCTATAGGTGTAATAAAAAAGGTCATTATGCCGATAAGTGTACAAATACAAAAAACTAGTAGGTACCGAGTTTAAAAAAAAATCGGATTGTTTAACTCGGGAATATAACTGTAACAATTTTAATGACACAATAGGTATAGAGAAAAATAATTATATACACTACGTAAAAAACTGGCACAACACACAAGAAACGAAGAAATGCATAATCAACAATTATCAGAACATTGACCTATTAAGAAATCATAACAAAACTATTATAATAAACAACATCGAAAAATACAATTCAGCAATTAAATATAATACTTCAGAAAAACATCACAAAAACGAAGGTGATGACGAAACTGAAAGAAAAATTAAACATACCGCTGGCTCATTCATAAAAATACAGGAAGTACCTTGCGATGGAGATGATGGTGCACATTCGTATTGAATTTGTTTACTACAACATGGGATAAAAAAACTACCTTAGAAATAATTAACATGCTGACTATTGATAAAATAAACTCCAGTTACAATTTTAGAGACGACGACTTAGCGTATGTTTGCGACCATTTTGGCATGAATTTATTTATAATAGCTGAAAAAAATGACACTTAAAATGCTATAATTTATTGGAAAACAAACAGGCCAAGTATAGGCATTTTTTATAAAAATAATCACTGGATGCCGGCATTCGAAATAAAAACAAATGAACCACAAATATTCTCAAATATAATAGTTAACACAATTTTTCCCGAACGTAGCAATATCATTGAACATGCACAAAACTACATGAATAAATATGTAGACCATACAAAATGCACAGAGACAAGCACAAACATCGGGACTGAATATGATAATAAACATAGAGTATTTTCAATAAATGTAGAACACGAAGGAATTGAGAAACACGCCATAATTAATACAGGATCAAATATTTCATGTATAAATGTTTCGCTAATCAAAAACCTTCAATGCATAAAAAACAAAGAACAAGTTACGATAACAGGCGCAAACAATTCAAAATTGGATCAAGTGGGAAAAATAAATTTAATGATTAAAATAAATAATCAGCAATATTTTATTGATGCATTTGTTATAAAAGGGCTAAATTGCGAAATATTATTGGGGAATAATTTCAATATTAAAAATAATTTAATAATAAATTTCAAAAACAAAAACATAAAAATCAATAACGATGTCATAACGATGAACGAAGTATGGTATAACTATTACAAAGAGAATAATAATTCAAACAACAGAGAAAGCAAATATAACATAGCCAGCATAAATTATAATACAAAATATATTGGAAAAATCATATGTAAAGACAATATAACGATATCACCTAAAAGTAAAATAAATATAAATACAAAAAATATGTATATAGAAACAAAAGAACAAAACAAAAGTTATGTAATAGAACTTAGAGAAAGTTTAAGCAAAAATAAGTATTTAAAATTGGAATCAACATACTTTAACATTGATGACGGAATCACAATTTACAATTTTTCAAAATTATATAGTAACATACCGAGAGGAATGACGATAGCGAATTTAATAAATACTGACACACCAAGGGTACAAGACGACACAGTATGTGAGCAAATAAACACCACTAATAAGACACCAACAGAAAACTATAATGACGATAACATTGAAGAAATTATGGATAAGCAAGGAAATGTGATTAAAATATCACAGGAATTAAATACTGAACCAAGAAAAAGGGCTTTAAGACTTATAAACAATTATAAACATTTATTTACATCAGATCCTTTAGACATTGGTTGCGCCAAGGTAGAACCATGTGAAATTAAATTAAAAACAGATAAAGCAATATTCCAACCACCATACAGAGTTTCACCTGCACAAAGACATAAATTGAGAATTCTAATTGAAGAAATGATAAACGCAGACATAATAGAACCTAGTAAAAGTAATTACGCTGCTCCAGTATTTTTAGTTCCTAAGAAAGAAAAAGGGGAATACCGATTCTTAGTAGACTATAGGAAATTGAACAACGAAACGATACCCGACAAACACCCAATTCCACGATCACAAGATCTTTTTAGAAGCCTGGAAGGGGCTCAATATTACTCTTCTATAGACATGGCCCAGGGGTATTTTCAAATTCCGATAAAACAAGAGGACCAAAATAAAACAGGATTCATAACAGATTTTGGACTTTTTAATTTCAAAAGGATACCATAAGGGTTTAAAAATTCAGCACCAATTTTTCAAAGAATAATAAATAATGTATTCAGTGACTATCTGTACAGGACAATGATAGCCTACCTAGATGATATATGTTGTTTCGGAACCAATTTTGAAGAAGCGCTAATTAATTTAAAAGATATATTCAGTAGACTGGAAGAAGCGGGTCTAAAATTAAAAACAAATAAATGCAATTTTTTTAGTTCAAATATTGAATTACTTGGACACTCAGTATCAAACATAGGCATAAAACCATTAGAAAAAAATATTAAAGCGATTACTTCATTTCCAACTCCAAATAAAATAAAAGACGTAAGAGCCTTCATTGGACTTACAAGTTATTATAGGAAATACATTAACAATTTTGCAAAAATAGCAAACCCTTTGACAAGCTTAACAAAAAAGGATAGTAAATTTGTTTGGGGAAAAGAACAGGTAGAAGCTTTTGAAATTTTAAAAAAAGCCATAACCACAGCACCAGTTCTGGCACATTTCGAAGATGGATACCCAGTTTTTGTTACCACTGATGCTTCGCTAGAAGGATTGTCTGGTATACTGGAACAAGAAGACAACAACGGTAAAAGGCATCCTATAGCCTATGCTTCTAGAAAATTAAAAGGAGGTGAAAAGAACTATTCAACTACAGAATTGGAAATGTCGGCTGTAGTATTTGCAACAAACCACTTCAGAGAATATCTCTTAGGGAGAAAAATAACTGTGTTTAGCGATCATTCCAGCTTACAGTATTATCAAACGATGAAAAACCCATCATCTCGTATTACAAAATTTATTTTTAAACTCTTAGAATACGATCTTGAAATAAAACATCGCCCAGGCTCATGGAACACGGCTGCAGATTGTCTCTCGCGTTACCCCGTTAATATAACGAAAATTTCTGATATGTTAAACGATGACGACGACAAAGAAAATATAGACACAATTAATTTCGACACAATAGAACCTGAGACACTGAGAACATTACAGTCAACAGACGAATATTGTAAAAACATAATTTTATCCTTATCAGGAGATACTAAAAATAAATACTATAAAAAATCCAGAAAATATATTATTAAAGACAAACTACTATACTTCAAAAATTGGTCACCACATGGCATAAAATATTTATTAGTTATTCCGACTAATCTGGTAAATACTGTCTTAAAGTCCTACCACGAATCCGTTTTTTCAGCACACTTTGGTATTACGAAAACTTTATCAAAATTAAAAGAAAAATATTACTGGCCAACCATTATACAAGATACTTATTCTTTTATAAAAACATGTACATCATGTCAGCTTTCCAAAAAGCCTCCAGGTAAAAGCAACGGACTACTACAACCAATACCTTTAATTTCGGGAAAGCCGTTACAAAGACTAACATTTGATTATCTAGGCCCATTACCAACGTCCAACGGAAAAAAATATATTATTGTAGCAACCTGCAACGCAACAAAGATGGCCTTTGCGAAAGCAGTTACGAATGCAAACGGAGCAGCCACGATAAATTTCCTTATGGAACTAATAACATCTTACGGAGTCCCTAAATATTTTTGTAGTGATAGAGGCACTCACTTTAAAAACAAAGAAGTAGAGTATGCATGCAAAAAACTAGGAATTGAACAAATATTCTCAAGTGCCTACCATCCACAAACGAACGGTATGACTGAACTAATGAATAAAATTATTTGTAGTAGCCTAACGCACTACGTAAATGAAAATCAAAAACAATGGTCCTTATACTATAAAATGGTAGTTTTTGCATATAATACTTGTCCTAGCTCAAGACTAAAAGTCAGCCCATTTTATTTACTACATGGCATGGAAGCTAATCAACCATTGGACAACAAATTAATGTCTGGAGAAAAAGAAACATTTAATCTTACAAAATCTCTAAAACAATTACAGATAATTAGAGAAAATATACCAGGAATAATAAAAAACGAACAATCAATCCAGAAAAAGTTATACGATCAAAAACACAAAGACATTAACTTCAAACCAGGACAGAAGGTATTAATACAATTCGATTTTCAGGAACCAAACAAAACAAAAAAGTTAGCTAACAAATATAGAGGTCCTTTTACGATTGTTGAAAAATTAACAGAGGTAAACTATAAAGTAGAATTAATTCTAAATAAGAAAAAGGTATTAGACGTTATACACGTACAGCGAATAAAACCTTTCCATGAAAATTTATAAATTTGAATAAAAATTACATATACATTCTTATAAGAATTAATTTACAATATTAAACCAATTACCAATCAATGATCTGTTCTAGATGTTATCCAAATATATTTTAATTCTCATATCAATCACCAACACATGTGCTGACGAAGATATAGCTATAACTGTGTCACCCGGAGCATTTTTCGAAGAAATCCAAGAAGCCATCTTATACGACAAAAGTATTCCTCTGGTATACACGCAAGAAATCCAAGATAACAATTCAAACAACATCAATTATAGCTGGGGGGTACAAAAATATTGTACAAATAAAAACACCAATTATTGTAATATTAAGAAAGAAACGTTAGAAATCCTAACTACCATAAATAAAAATATAGAGGACAACGACAAAGATATATTAGAGATCATAAACCTCAACCTTAAAAATAATAGATCAAAGAGAGGCATACAATTATTCGGGAACCTGTACCATTTCTGTTGCAATATAGCTACTGAAAAACAATTGAAAAATATTTATACGAACGAAGAAGCGTTAAATCAACAAATTAATAAATTTAAAGATGTTTTCGTATCAGATCACAGGGATTTAATTAATATTACAACCGAATTAAACAAATATACTAAAAACACAAATAATAATATAAAACTATTAAAAGAAAACTTCATCAAA